CCCTCTCACATCTCGAGTGAGGCTGGTCTGTCGAGGGTGAGGTCCAAGGGGTGTTGTGGCGCTGCGAGAGTGAGGCTGTTGTGGCGCTGCGACAGTGAGGTTGTTGTGGCGCTGCGACAGTGAGCTTGTCTTGGCGCTGTGATGGGCTATCGTAGGGCTGCGACAGTGAGACAATTGTGGCGCTGCGACAGTGAGGCAATTGTGGCGCTACGACTGTAAGGCTGTTGTGGTGCTACGACTGTGAGGCTGTTTTGACTCCGCGACTGTAAGGCTATTTTGACTCCGCGACAGTGACAATGTTGTGGCGTTGCGACAGCGACACTTGCGGCGTTGCGACTGTGATGCTGTTTTAGCTTTGCGATAGCGAGACGGTTGTGGCATTGCGACAGTGATACTGTTGTGGCGCTGCGATAATGAGGCTGTTGTGGCGCTTTTGCCGTTCTCCGAGAGTTTAGGAGCGTCGTCTCTCGTTATTCCCCCCCCCCCTCGACACGCGGCCCTTCGCTTCTGCGACGAAGTTTCTTCGTCCCCGATTGTTTTCCTCAATCCCCGACCTGATTAATTTCTTCCGTCCCGATCAGGATGTTTTCCCCATTCTCTTGTTTTCCGCGGGATTTTTTCCTGGTCATCACCGAATGCGCAGGAATTTGGAATCTTCTCCGCCATCTGCCGAGTTTCTTGCCAAACTACTAATTAGACGAAAAACAGCTGAAGAAACAAAAGAAAATTTAAAGGGCAATTTCATCGAGAACTTCATTGCCATGAGTAATTTAAAAAATTCAAATCAGAAAATTAGGGGAAAAGTTTGAAAATCTCCCGAAAACGTCTGAAAATCAACTTTAATAAAAATTTCGCATGTTGCCCTTGCCCTTGCCCTTGCCCTTGCCCTTGTCAAATAAGAAATTTACTAAATATTTAAAGTTTAAGTAAAAAGTGACAACTCCACTGGAGAAACTCAAAACTCAAACCCGCGTGAGATTTTCACATGAGCAAACCAAACTCGTAAGCAAGAACTGAAATGTCACGTGAGAAGTGAAGCAAGTTTTTCACTTATTTTGAAAGAAATATTCTGGGCCGAAAGTTTTTTGACGGAAATCCCGGAAGCACGGAAGTTGAATTATTTGAGACGGCGGAAATTGATATATCGATTGGCCGCTAAAAAATAGTCTTTAGCGGGAAATCCGCTCTCGGCGAAGCAAATCGCAATTTTTATGGCAGATTTGAATTTTTTTTTCCCTTTGGCTCAGTGAAAAAATTTTTGCCGACTTGTAAACTTCCTCCGGTATTTTTTGCGGGGGAAATTTTTTTGCAGAAGTTGCATTCTTTGTTTACCGAGTTCTCGGAACGAGTCACGACTCTTCACGGGAGTCCCGACTCCTCACAGGAGTCACGACTCTTCACGGGAGTCACGACTCTTCACATGAGTAATGACTCTTAGCAGGACTCACGGCAACAAAGAGACTCGCGAAGCACAAGCACTAAAAGGAGATTCCCTGAATCACGTAATGGACGGGGAGATTCCCCGAATCCCTCGCGTGCCGGCTCCCATCCGGCCCCCATCCGGCGCTTCGATCAAGCCCCAACTCCTCCCTTCCGGCCGCTGCTTGCAAAGCCCACTGGGACAATCGAGTCTAGAGGGAAATCGAGTCTAGAGGGAAATCAAGTCTTGAGGATTTTTTTTGTTGTTCCCTCGCTTGACGTCTGGCGGTTTGAGATCTTGCGAAGACTTGCGGAAAACTTGGAGGGGAAAAATATTTTCGTCACGATTTTTCATATTTTACGCTTACCATTTATGTTTATCATCTTTATTCTGTATTTATTCTTCGCTGCCGTGAATGAAGATTCCGAATCCCAGAGAAAAAATTCCCGGAAAAAGTTGAATAAATAATATAATGCCGAGGTCCCCAGCTCTAAAAATAAGAAACACGTCAAGGTTCCAGGAAGTGACCTGTTTCCGTCTCTCCTGTTTCAGATGCCAGAACAGAGCAACGACTACCGCGTGGTGGTATTCGGTGCTGGGGGTGTGGGCAAGAGTTCCCTGGTGCTCCGCTTCGTCAAGGGGACGTTCCGCGAGAGCTACATCCCGACCATCGAAGACACCTATCGCCAGGTACTGCTTTGGCCCCTTGGAGGTCGATGGGAGGGTCGATGGGGCGGTCGCAGAGTTTATTGGTGCAAGAGATGAATTGGGGGATGGGGAATTGTTTCATCGTCGTATGCACTTCCAGTGGAGTGTCTCCAGCCGATGCCTCAAGGCTCGCCCGGCTGCATAGCCTTGAGCATGACCACAGCGTGAAATGAATGGAAGTGAAGTATCTAGCACCGAGTCTTGGTAGTTTGCCGTGGGACTCAGAAATGATCGAAGTTGCACGAACGGGTAGCTGGATGTTCTTCGTGTTCGTGTAAATGCGAACATCGTGTTTATGGTTCTGTTGCAGGCCGAATCAGTGTAGGGAAATATTACTTAGGTGGGGCTCTCTCACGTTCCCTTTCGGGGCGAATGTTAGGAAAAGACCTTGGGCATCACAATGTTTATGAGGCTATCATATCTGATGCCGCTCCTTTAGTCGGGTTTCCATGCTCATGCCGCTCCTTTAGTCGGGTTTTCATGCTCGTGCCGCTCCTTTAGTCGGGTTTTCATGCTCGTGCCGCTCCTTTAGTCGGGTTTTCATGCTCGTGCTGCTCCTTTAGTCGGGTTTTCATGCTCGTGCCGCTCCTTTGGTCGGGTTTTCATGCTCGTGCTGCTCCTTTAGTCGGGTTTTCATGCTCGTGCCGCTTCATTATTCAGGTCCTGCGGGTACCTCCTGTTTTTTTTCTCTCCGTTCACATGCAAGCAGTCAGATCATGATTCGCCGAATCAGCGATCTAGTCAGGTCTCCGGCTAATCCAATCAAGACTCAAGATTTTCCCTCGGCCTTTCCTTCTCGTCCCTTTAACGACGCGTGCTGTTGAGGGATCGAGAGGGGAGCGAAAGGAGCCTCATCGATTGCGCGTTGCTCCCAGGAATCCGAGCTGGATGCCGGGATCCGGAAAGGGTAACTGGTACGGGTGAGTGATACGGGTAGCTGATGACGGTAACGGATTCCCGGGAAAGGCTGGAATCGTAATTTTGGGATTCGCATTCGCGGTTCGAAAATCCGGGGGAAATCGGGACTGGGATATGTATTCCTGGAATTCCGGAATGTTTACGCCACGGAATGGGGGATGCGAAATCCATTTATGGAAATATGCGCAAAATATGCACAAAATATGCACGTAGAAAGGCATGAATATGAAAATGCGAAGCGTATCCCTTCGTTTCGTTCAAGACCCGCAAAAGCAAAACCAACAAACTCCTGAGGAAGGTGAAACGCCGTATCAACGAGGGAGGAAGGTGGGATGAAGGTGGGAGGAAGGTGGGAGGAAGGTNGGAAGGTGAAACGCCGTATCAACGAGGGAGGAAGGTGGGATGAAGGTGGGAGGAAGGTGGGAGGAAGGTGGGAGGAAGGTGGGAGGAAGGTGGGAGAGATGTAGCGGATGAGACTGAGATGGGGAAGACTGGTGACCCAATTTGAAATCTTATTTCTCTGCCATCAGCCATGGCAAAAGGAAAAAAAATACGCAATTAAATTGGAAATGGATAAAAAAAATAAAGCAATTTCATGCGACCGGGTCATTACATGCAAATGCATCTATGCACGATTAAGTTTTGCATACAGACCTCTTTTTCATCAAATGCGGACTGTCCTTGAGAGGGAGAAAAAAAAAAAGGCGGCTTCGGGAGATAACTCGCACGAAAATCTCGGCTCTAATGAGCCGAAGAGGTCGGCCTTGAAAATAAATGGAAAACCTGGGACGACCTGCTTCCGGACTTTTTTTTGCCCGACGTTCCCGGACTGACGTCGTGCATCTGTCTCGAGCCCGAACTTCCCTCGATCGCGCCCCAAAGACAAAAGTTGGAGCCGATACACGAGGGAAGAATGAGAGGGAGATGGGCGTCGCCCGCTCGGTCTGCTGCGTCTCTCGGCTCGATCGCTCCTCATCTGGCGTCTCTCGTATGACTTCCCATCTGCTTTCTCTCTTCTGACATCCGATCTGCTTTCTTTTCTCTGACTTCCGATCTGCTGTCTCATATGTCCTCCGATCTGCCGTCTCTTACGCCTTCCTTTCTGCCGTCTCTCCCGATTTTTTAACCCTGAAAGCTTCCCTCTTCGTACGTGGCACAAAACACTTCATTGGAGCGATTGCTCGCTGATTGGGGTTATTATAGCAAAAATCCATATCAGCGTCGATGAAATATTAATCGCGCGATCGCACGTGACAACGTCAATTATTTCCGCGATCGGGGAGGAGAATAATTGCGTAACGGCAGTCGCGGCTGGAAGCCTTCCGAGGCCCGCACCGTCAATATTTACACTAAGGACACCTGCCACGACTCGGATATTGATCAATTAATGTTCCACTTCCCGGCGTCGTTCTCGGTACTTTCAGTCCGTATTCAGTACCGCGATGCTCTTGACTCTGCAGGAATATTCGTGCATGAGAATTGAATGGTTCACGATATCGATCAACGCTTAAAAAAAAAAAATTCCATCTTTTTTCGCCTAAAGTTAGAAGGAAGATTGTTATGGAAAATTTCTGCGCAGAGGAACGAAAACATTTTTACATCTTGCTTTCAATGCCCGATAGAAATATCTTCGAAAGGTTTGCAGGGTCCTTCCACATGTTAATGCAATTTTTAACAAAAATCGAGCTGAGAGCTTTTGCCTGCATGTCAGCGCAGAATCCTGGGTCGTGGATACGCTGGCGCCACCTCTAATGCATTTGTCGAACCAGGGTATTCCGTCGTTCTGGGTAAAAGGTCATAAGGTTGGCACTACTTACTTTTTCCCTCCGTCAGGCATAATTCATTTCAGTTTTAGAAGGTCGCAATTCTGCGTGCAATCGAGTTAGGCCTTCCGGGTTTAACTCGATTGTGGGGAGCCCGGGGTGCACCCTATTGTGGGGAGCCTAGGGTGCACCCTATTGTGGGGAGCCCGGGGTGCACCCTATTGAGCCCGGGGTGCTCACTTTGGACTGCACTCGATGAGGCGCTTAAATATTTCTGAGCTCTGCTTCAAGTCGACCAATGTTTTCTGATGGAGGGAATGGGATCACTGGATTTCTCCATTATTCCTTTCTTCTTCGTTATTCCTCCTCGTGAATAATATACCTTGTGTGTTTTACTTGGCCCGCTCTTCCTGCTCCTCGGTCAATACCATCATCGACTCTCAGAGGTCACAATCTACAAATCCCCCTCCTTAGCTCCGGCGCATAACTTCCAGCCTCCGTCCAGCCTCCGTCCAGCCTCCGTCCAGCCTCCGTCCAGCCTCCGTCCAGCCTCCGTCCAGCCTCCGTCCAGCCTCCGTCCAGCCTCCGTCCAGCCTCCGTCCAGCCTCCATCCAGCCTCCGTCTAACTTCCGTCCTTGGTCTTTCGAAGTTCTTTTCCAATGATCATTATCTCGAAAACGAAATGTGAATTGAAAGTCTTGATGGTAGTTGCGCATTGCAATGCGAGTGCAAAGGCGGAATTCGAACGCGGAAACTTTTGGGTCACCAAATTAATACGTAATTATGCAGCGAACTTCGGCTTGACTCGAATGCGGCACGATCCGCTTCAAAAAATCGATCGACTTTGTTTCCTCTCTGAGCGACTAGTGCACTCCCCCAGAGGAAATCACAGTGATTCGCTCTTCCGATCCACTCGACGTCAGAAAGAAGTGCTCCGACGGGCACCCATTGCGAATCCAAAATGCAGATAGGGAAAGAAGCGAGGGAATGACATGCACGCGATGTCATTAGGGGATTCGTGCCTTCATTACCATGCGATTCTCGTCTCTCCCATCATGTATCGACTCTCCCTCGCAGGTGATCAGCTGCAACAAGAACATCTGCACGCTGCAGATCACCGACACGACGGGGTCGCACCAGTTCCCGGCCATGCAGCGACTCAACATCTCCAAGGGGCACGCGTTCATCCTCGTCTACTCCATCACGAGCCGGCAGAGCATGCAGGAGCTGGAGCCGATCTGGGAGGTGATCAGGGAGACGAAGGGGAACATGGAGGACGTCCCCGTCATGCTGGCCGGGAACAAGTGCGACGAGGTGGAGAACCGGGAGATCAACTTCTCGGAGGGAGAGGACCAGGCGAAGCGGTGGAAGTCGTCCTTCATGGAGACCTCGGCCAAGACCAACTACAACGTGAAGGAGCTCTTCCAGGAGCTGCTCAACATGGACAAGAACAGGAACATGTCGCTGTCGCTGGACGGCCGGGGAGGGAAGGGGGGGAAGGGGACGCAGAAGATCAAGGAAAAGTGTTGTCTCATGTGAGTGCATCGCGTTTCTACATGTCTCATGTGAGTGCATCGCGTTTCTACATGTCTCATGTAGAGATGGCTGGTTTCCTCTCTCATCTGCCTGTGATGATCCTTCCATCGACGTTCATATCAACCGTTGGGCCCGGCTCTTGTTGCATTGTTACGAGAAGGCCTTTTTTTCCCCTTTCGCAACCGCGTCCGCAGTTTTTCCATCGTGTGTGTCGAGGAGTCTCGGTGGCAACTTTCGCTCTACAAGTCCGACGTGGTTCTCCGTGAGGATTTCGGGGGACCCACACCTCGACCATCTCCGTGAAGTTATTTTTCTCGAGGTCGGTCCTCGAGGACCTTGCGAACCTTTCTTCCCTCGTTAAATTATATTGACCACGGACCCACGAGGGGCGAAAAAAAAGAGATTCGACGCACAAAAACATGACATTTCTTCTCTAGAGAGCAGAGAATGTTCTTAGCTCCGTCTCAGACGTCGCGAGTAGTCAACTTAGACAATAACTCATGCAAGTTCATCGAAAACGCGTTTCACTTGGAGAACAGATTGACGTCATCCAACCGAGACGGACGGGGTTGTCCGTCCTTGCCAAATGCACACAGCAAATCTGAGAACATTCGCAGCCCGAAAATCGTCGCTGGAACGACTGGACTTCCCGCGGCCCCCTTTCGCGACGAGTGGACTTATACGACGAATGGTTTCTACGGAGGACGCGTTTGACGTCAGTCTATTTTTCAAGTGAAGACACAATAAGAAACGTTTGTACAGTTGTTTCTATCGGTTATATACGTAGACTTAGAGGGTTGCTTGAATTGAGCGATGTTGCATTCATGATGTGAAGAGATGTGTAGAGATGAGATGAGCTGAGCTGAGTAGGGATGAGATGTGATTAGATGAGATGAGATGAGTTGAATTGGGTTGATGTGAAATGAGATGAGTTAAGATGAGATGAACTGGGTTGAGATGAATCGAGATGAGATGAACTGAGTTGGGATGAAATGTGATGAGATGAGATGAAATGTGATGAGATGAATTGAGTTGAGATGAATTGAGTTGGGATGAAATGTGATGAGATGAGATGAAATGTGATGAGATGAGATGAAATGTGATGAGATGAATTGAGTTGGGATGTAATGTGATGAGATGAATTGAGTTGAGATGAAATTAGATGAGATGAAACTTTGTGAATCTTATCCTTGAAGAGCGGGCAAGGCAACTCTGGATCCGCATCACTTCTTGCAACGAAAAGGGAAAGGAATGGAGCAACGAAGATTCCCTGAATTCCTGGCTCTCAAGGATGATTTTTGGGGGAAAAGAGTTTAAAGATTTCCAAAAAAGCAAATTTCGCTAGCGGAAAGAAAGGCCTGTCCCACTGGAAGCTCCTTTAGCTTGTCCGCATCTTCGAAGTATTAAGAGCTGCTTGCACGCGACTTTTGCTCAATGATCGCTCATCCCTGGAGCGCGTCCGGTTCATACCCTCGAGGGCATCGGTCGGTCGGCGCGAAACGAAGGACCGCTGAGCGCAGTGCACCAGCCTCCAAAAAATGCCATTTGGGGATTCCTCAAGTTGCAAGGACCGGAATGAGCCATTCTCGCGGATGAACGGAATGGAGCGACAACGAGAAACATTATTTCTCTCAACGAAACATGTCTCGTCGCAAGTGTTCGTCGTTCGAAACGCCATTTGTTCGATTCCGATTGGGGAACGATCGCGCCCCTTCTGTCGCGTTTCTCCACGTTCCCTCACTTTCGGCATGTATTTGCACGGCTTCCATTTCTTCATTCCTGAGGTTTTTTGCATTCCGAGACTTGTTTTCCTCGTCTGAATAAAGGGCCCAGTTCCTTTTTTCTTGTGAAACTGGTCCTTTAAATAGAAACCTCGCAGATGCGAGGCTGCTCGATCGGAAATCTCCCGAACGTCAAATTGAATGTCTTTTTTATTTCAAATTTCGTGCATTTTTTAAAATTTAATTTTGCACAACACAACAATCCTGCAAAATAAAGTGAGTCCCCTGACAATGCAGCCCTTCTCATTTTTGCACGGAAATTCCACGCGCGAGCCTCGAAGCAGAGACGAAAAAAAAAAAGACGAACGAGCGACAGCATCCCGCTTCTTCCCTCTGAATGCTGTTTCACCTTCGCTGGTCGCAGGAGTTTTTCCTCAAGAAATTTTCGTGAAACACTACGAGAAACTTTTTAGCTACAGCCTCCCAAAATCTCAGGAAATTGCGAGTACCGATGAGCTAATTTTCTGTGTGGAATGATGAAATGCAGCATTCAGCTGATAATTTTTTTTTTCCGACTTCGGGAATAATTTTAACGCTCACGTTTTTGTCGACATGTTTTTTTCCTTTATCAAATAAAATTTTCACTCTCGTATATTCAAAAGATTATCATGCGATATGTCTTTGACCTTTAGAAGTCAAGGGTTCAGCAGCCCCAACTCCCTTCGCATTTCGTAAATTGATCTTTTCGAATCGGATTTCATCCTCGTTCCTCTGATTTCTCCTGACACGAGTCACGAGAGAACTCGCTGAAAAAAAAAAAATTCCTTCGGGATTCATCCTCTTCGTTCCTCCGAATGTGAAGGGTGAAAGGTGGGTGGCGTTGGTCCATCAGTGACTCTCGTCGTCGGGAATACCGAAGTGGGAACTATTTTTTTTTTCCATCATCCAGAGTGAGTCACGTTTACGAGGCTGCGAAGCACCTCGCTCTTACGGTATGTCTGGAAAGGCGCCAAGAGATGGAGAGATCGATGATAGAATAGACTTCTATATCTCTCTTATGCATTTTTTGGATCACGACCGCCGGTTGGTTCGTTTACCTCTCGGCAAAGGGGGCTAGAAACCTGTTTCTTGTACTCGTTTCTCCTTGAAATTCCCATCATGGAAGGAAAGGTTATCCTCAGATGTATCCTTCTTGACGTCATCGGAAACTGGTTGCTGGATTTCGGAATTCGGCGAGAAATTTCCCTTCCGCCTCCATTCAAAGAGCGTCATGACAATAACGAGGAGGAGGAGGGGCATCCCCGTGACGAGCAACTGCGCTACGGCGGGCACCATCCCCACATCCGCATCCGGGTTGGGCAGGGATAGCTTGAGCACGACCATAGCGACGGCGCCGTTCTGCATCGCGACCTCGATGGACACCGCCTTGATTTGGGGCGGGCTGAGACGGAAGATGCGGGCCCCTGTCGCTCCCAGCGAGAAACCGACGACCCCGAGAATCACTCCTGCCAGGACCATCTTCCAGGTCATCAGCTTGAACACGAAGAGGTTGCTGTAAACGCCGATCTGTAGAAATATTCATTTTTAAAATCCACGTTCGTCACTATAGCCAATCTGATGAGAAATGTTTCATGAAGAGGACAATGCATTTTTCGGACCAGCTCCTATCATACTGGTTATCTCCAACTTGCAGGCAGCAAACTTACAAAGGATGTGGGCAAATTCTCTTTTTCCCAGGATCAAAATCATTTAAAGAAATATTTGATAATGGTAGTTTGCATTGAAGGTAATGTAAAAAAGGAAACATATTGTGTAATGTCCATTCGGGTTTCAATTAGCAGCTTGGAAAGTCTGGCACTGGCATGCACCCTCAAATGGCCAAGTTTCTCACGTTGATACAATCAGGCACAACTACCCACTGACTTTATTAGCAGATCTGAGAACATACCATTCACGTGCAGCAGAACAGACAAGGAGTCGCTCATCTGGCAACCAAGCGACAGGGCGACCGAAAATCAGGTTGAAAACAAATTGGTGCATGGATCTGGTGTTCTATGTTGCATCGCATCGCATGGCCACATCACGAGTCAAAAACCAGGAAAACTAAGTCACACAAGAATCGTATTAACCCTTTAACTCCCGAGTTTCCCAAGGAGCCCACGAAGCGAGTATGCTCGGGCGTGGGATTTAAAGGGTTAACAATGGCTCACCGTTAGCGCCATTCTGCCGTGACCACCCTAAAATGTGAGAGCACAGGGTCAACAGCACGAGTTATCGTTGCAATGCCATGCATTGATGCGCTTGATCTTCATCGTGAGCTTGATCTTCATCGGGGTTGGAATCCGCGAGATACTTTACCTCCAAATGCCACCTTCCAAAAAGAAGGCGGTGTTAGGTCAGGCGAACGATATGGACGTGAACATTTAGATTATAAAAAAAAGATGGTTTGATGCGAGAAAATCCTCCGCTGCAAAAAAGCTCTGAAATTCGTCTGGCTCGTCGCGAGGTTTCCTTGCGCGAATCCGGACGTTCAATCGATTCTCAATCGATGCTGATCCGGACGTTCAATCGATTCTCAATCGATGCTGATCCGGACGTTCAATCGATTCTCAATCGATGCTGATCCGGACGTTCAATCGATTCTCAATCGATGCTGATCCGACAGATGCATCGACCATTGTCAACGACTAGCACCAATGTGCAAATTGTGATCTTATGGCACAACCTAGTATTTAACTTATATGTATTTAACTTTAAATTGATGGCATTTTTCGGGTCTATTAGGGCTAAAAGCTTTTTCTCACCCAGTGCGTCGACGCAGTTTCGGTCTTCTTGGTTTTTAACACACGATTTGGTCACGTCATTGAGAATGACTTTAAAGGGAGTTTTTTCCCATTCCCCCTTAGGAGCCTGACAAGACTCAACGTTGAAGAGAGGTTGACTGATGATGACAAACATTTTGCTGCGTGTCCTCGCCCATTTCATTTCCTTCCCGTTCCGTAAAGCCATCTCCTCGTATTCCTCTATGACATCTGGCGGAACGAAATCGCTTCTTACCTTCTCGACGCAGGATCCCTGGCCTTTGGGAGGAGATGGCCGAACGAAAGATATGGACTTTTGCCGCGTCGTCGTTAAAAATGAAATTAGCTGTCGTTTGCTTGGGCTTATCTAGGCTGGAGTCTCGTCCCCCCACGGTTGCCGGATATCGTGCTGTAGTTATGTCCGGTTCATGACTGCTGCTGCTTTCGTATCGTAGCCTGGGTCCCCCGTTTTTATTATTAT